GGCGGAGGGCTGGGGGCCATCGGGTGGCTGACTCGATCCATGCCAGGTGCAGGGTCTGCTAGCTGGGTGCTGGCAGGCTTGCACCTGGCACGGGCACCGTAGCCAGCCTGTGCCCCTTTAAGGGATCCGGGGCCGGGAGGGGGGCATAGAGTTTCCCTGATGTTGGCCAGAGTGGCCACCAGGGAAACCTGGGGAGGTCTAGCCTCCCACTAGTTCGAATTAAGGGGCTATACACCCCTTAATTCGAACTAGCTAGTTCAAACTAGGCTTAATCCTCGTAAAATGAGGTTTTCCTAGTTCGAACTAAGTGCTCCGCTAGTTCGAATTAAATTAAAAGTTTTCCGTTAAAAGCATTTCTGGAAAAGAGCGTCTAGATTGCCCAGGACACTTTTCCGCAAAAGCACTTCTTGCAGAAAAGTGTCCATGGCCAGTCTAGATGCACTTTTGCGCAAAAAAAGCCCCAATCGCCATTTTCGCGATCGGGGCTTTTTTGCGCAAAACAAATCTCAGCTGTCTACACTGGCCCTTTTGCGCAAATGAGACTTTTGCCCGAACGGGAGCAACATAGTATTTCCGCAAAAAGCACTGATTTCTTACAGTAGGAAGTCAGTGCTTTTGCAGAAATTCAAACGGACAGTGTAAACAGCTGGCAAGTTTTTCAGAAAAGTGGCTGATTTTCCGGAAAAACCGGCCAATCTAGACAGAGCCTTAGACTTAAGAAGAAAGAAGCCCAGAAATAGGAAGTTGGTTGGAGAGGAAGACAGAACAAGGCAGGGAGTGGCTGTTCTGGAAAAAGCAAGGAGAAATCCAAAAGAGCCCAGAGTAAACTGAGAAAAATAGAAAAGAGTGAAACATGAGACCAGAGTGGGCTGAAAAATAGTTTCAATTAGAGGAGAGATGACAGATCACTTGAGAAAGAGGGACTGGGCCCAGGTTTAAACTGGGACAAAGGCCTTGTAATTTGTCTGGGAATTTTTTGCATTGAAATTTCCCAGAAAGAGTAGACTATTATTAATTATTAATGATTAGCCAGAGATCCAAGTCATTGCAGCAAGTCATAGCTCTGACTTGAGTAAAACAAAGGACATGGTGGGGAAGTTGAGTAGGAAGTGATGAAACATCAGGCATTGCTATGAGGTGGCACTCTCTAAAGGGAAACATATTAATACGCCACTTTTTATTAGAGCTTCAATGAAAGGACTGTGCCTTTTTTTTAAGTTTGGAAAAAATATAGGATGTCAGCGTAGGACCAGAAACAAGTGTAAAATGATAATCTATATAAACACTCATCACCAGTGCTATCCAAGATTGTGACAATGGGTTATGGTAGTGGTAATATTTCTATTGATTTGCTCTATACAAGATACTTTGCGTTTAAGAAAAAACGCACAGTGGCTTTCTGGGTGAGCTCACTAAAACTGTAAAATGTCAGACTCTAATATGAAAGATGATATCATTCTGGCCTATGTCCTGTGAAAATGAAGGAAGTATATCAGAAATAGGCTCCAGCAGGCAGGACTTTTTTCAGAACAAAGACTACAATGGTTCATAAAGGATTTCTCAATGCTATGTGGTAAACAACAACAAATTGTATAAAGAGTTTAACTGTATAAAGTTCTCCTAATCTGGGAGAACAATATCACTCACTCCAAGAACTAACATAAATTGGTGACCAAGACCCTTAATATTTAAATTGTATCAGAGACCCCACGTGGAAGATGGAGGAGAGCCAAAATGATTGCTGGGGTTCTGTGGAATGTGAGGAGGCTAGCTTTGCAGTCCTGAAAGGCAGAAGGGACAGGACTGGGGTAGCCAGCCTCCAGTGCTGCCTAGATAGCACCTTCCCTCCCACTGCAAAAAAACAAAAACAAAACACACCACCACACACTGGCTGGAGCACGCTGCATGGAGCTCCCACAGCGATTCTGAAGGGGGGCTCTGCTGCTACAGTCACCCAGTCCCAGAGCAATTGCCCCCTTTGCCTACCACCCTGTTGGCATGCCTGGGAAGATGGTTAACTGTCTGGTAAAGTAGACATGCAAATAAGATGTTTATTGTCTTCAAGATATGTTTATTTTGTAATGCTTTAGTTCTGAGCAGATAGCAGTTTTCTTTTACAGAGTTGGCTGGTCATTGGGTAAGCCTACCATTGCATCTGAAAAATAGGACTTGAGGTGCTAGATGGAAGTCAGACCTACTGAGATAATCACAGATAATTGCTGGATTATGCA